CGTGTCCCGACACCCTCGATCAGCTGCCCACATCGCTCCTGCCCGCGCTTGGGCTGGGACCTGCCAGCCGGAGGCAAAGCCCCGTGTCTCTGTCCTCAGCTGGTGACCCCAGCTGCTCTGAATTCCCCGTGCCCTCTGCTTCCTCACAGGCTCACTCAACCTTCCTGTCTCTCCCCGCAGGGCAGGAAGGGTTTTTATTTCCACTATTGGGCCTTGTTTGACGGCCATGCGGGCAGCGGTGCTGCTGTCATGGCATCCAAGAGGCTCCACCTGCACATCTGCGAGCAGCTCCGGGACCTGGTGGACATCCTGCAGGACCCCTCTCCGCCTCCCATCTGCCTCCCGCACGACATGAGGGCTGGCCCTGCGGAGCTGAGCCGGGTGCCCCTCTCAGAGGACGACAAGGAGGTCCCCAACGATGCTGTGCCGCGGTTTCACCTGGAGAAAGCTGTCTCTCACGAGAGCCTGGTGATCGGCGCCATCGAGAACGCCTTCAAGCACATGGTGAGTGAGCCCCCCCGTGGGGTCACCCAGGCACCCCGGGAGCATCTCCTTGCTGTCTGTGTCGGCGTTGGCTTCTCCCCTCTGGGAAAAGGCAGCTCTGTAGCAAGGAGGGGGCTGCAGGGAGGACTCCAAGCAGGACGGTCTGGGAGAGGGCGCTGCGATCCTCTCCCGTGTTTGGGGGGGGGTTCAGGACACTGAGGCTTTGGGCTCTAGACCTGTGTGGGTGCAGAGGGCTTCATTCTGCTTCATTCCAGCAGTCCCAGCTGCTCCCCTCCTGTCTTGCTCTCTCCTGCCCTCTCCACTGCCCTGGTGAAGCCGTGTCCCTGGCTGCCCTGCAGGACCCTTGTGTCCCCAGCCCTGCAGCCACCCCAGGCTCCGTGGGGGAAGGTGCCCAGGCCCTGGCCGGCCACCGCTCCCCACTCGCATGGGGTCTCAGCTTGGCCAGCAGCCGAGGTGCTGCCGGAGCAGCCGGGCGCTATTTTGGGCTGCTTGCAGCTTTGCTTGCTGGCATGGGGCCGCCTGCCCGCCCTGCCTGGAGCTGCTCTCTTCTCCCCAGGATGACCAGATCGAGCGGGAGCGAGCGTCCCAGCGCCTGTCCGGGGGCTGCTGCGCCCTGGCTGCTGTCTACCTCATGGGCAAGTTCTACGTGGCCAATGCCGGCGACAGCAGGTACAGCCCCACCGGGCAGCCCCCACATTTCGCCTGGCAATCGGGGAGCACCCTGGTAGAGCAGGGCAGCGGGGAGCACACGGGCATGGCTGGCAAGGAGCAGCCGGCTCCATCCCTGAAGCTGGGCTGGGGGCAGGGGTGGCAGGGCCAGGCAGAGCCACCCCCTGCCTCCCTGCACGCCCCAGGGACAGCGTTTGCCTGCTGCACAGAGGGACTACAGAATTGCCTCCCAAAATCTGGGATTTGCTCCCTGCCTTCTTGGCAGCATGCCGTCTGCTTCCCAGATGGCTCCGGATCACACCCCAGCCCCTGCTGCCAGTGCCGGCCTGGGCTGCAAGTCGGGGAGTGAAAATCGCCCTTGGCAAAGCTGTCAGAAATGTGCAAGAAGTCATTTTAGGGCACGCTTCACGCCAGTGAACTCTTCCAGAAGGACATGCAAATCTATCTGCAGACAAGTCCTGGGGGAGCTTGGAGCCCAAGGATTTTGACTGATGGGTGCATTTCCTCGGGTGCATTTCTGTAACTGCGCCGGGGTGCGTTCATACCCCCCAAGCAGTGCAGGAAGGCAAAGCCTACCTTACGCGGAGGGTGAAGCTGTTTGAATTGCCCTATATTTACTGCAGGAGTAGCTTGTCCTCAGCAGTGTCAGGCCAGCAAATACAGACTCTGGCAAATTGTCTGAGCCTGGAGAATGTGCTTCCAGCTCTGGGGCAGAGGAGGAGAAGGTCCTTCCTGCCTCTCCTTTTGGGTGTGGGGCCCCTCCATGGCAGCGGTGGCCAGCACCGCCCGTGCAGGAGGGCAGCATGCACAGGGTCCTCAATCCCCCCATGACATCCAGAAACATCTCATAATCAGACTTCTATTTTTTTTTTAACACAGCAGACAATGAGACCAGCCCCAGCAGTGAGCAGCCGTGCTGGCGTGGGCTGGGCACTCGCATCCGTGTCCCGCTGCTGGCGATTTCTGCCTGTCCCTTGTGTGGCCCCCCTCTGCGGGAGGGTTCGCCACCTTTGTGCTGCTCCTTTTCCAATCCTGTCCTGTCCTTTGGTTTGCTCTGCTTCATTCCCCTCTGCCCCATGCTTCTCTTCCATTTTCTCTTCCTCCCTGCCTCTGGCTCAGGGCTGGGAAGAGGGCAGACAGCAGAGGGGAAGGGGTCGCACCACCCGGGCAGCCGTGCAGGGAATCAGCCCTGGAGAGCCGGGCTTAGCGTCCCTGCCACTCCTCCTCTCCTCCTCTCTAATCTCATCCTTCCATGTTTCATTGCAGGGCCATTATCATCCGTAACGGGGAAATCATTCCAATGTCCAGGGAGTTTACTCCAGAGACAGAGAGGCAGAGGCTGCAGTTTTTAGTAAGAAAGACCTTTCTT